CTCCCATACTGGATTAATGAGTCTTTTTGTATCAACGAAAGCCTACCCGCAGTTGGTGGTTCTCATTCAGATGAGAAGTGTAAAAGTATCATAACGTGGGCTATAGCCATCCCATATTATGACTTGAAAGCCATCTAGTATGGAATTACAATATACCCCTAACGTGTAAAACCCACAAGCAGCCCAGTCCGGGCCCGTATTTGGTATTGAATAGCAGCTTTCCCACAGCCGGGCTCCCTGCTACCACTACTCCTGTTACCGAGGTGATTGAGAAATATTCGGTCATGATATGATCTTGTCTCTCAGTAGCCGTATCATGTCATGTCGTATTGTATACTGTGTGAACCTACCGTTGGAGCCCAGGGCTCCTCGGGTGACAGCTGATGGATGTGTGAACCGGAATTGGCGCTACCTACGCAGGTTGTTTGGTGAAACGCAAGCCTTGCAATGGACTAGCCCGGGTCGAAAAAAGGGCCGACCCGGCCCAGCCCAAGCCCAAGGAACCTTGAGCCCGACCCAGCCCGGCCCAAGGAAGTATAGCCCGGGCTAACCCAACGAGCCCATCAGGCCTCAGTGAGTGAATGAACGCGTATAAGGTGGGCTCCTGGATTCTGTGTACCATGAGACTTTTGGTACCTCTGGGAACACCGAACACATTGCCAGTATCTATCAACAAATTCAGGTTAAATATTTATATAAGCACATAAAATACATATTAAGAACTTGTTTACTTGGCGGCAAACTTACTCAATATCATCTTAGATCACTAACTTCCCATTAGGAGACTCCGGAGTACCCCATACCCACGAGGAAGAAAGTGTGCTTTTTCTCTTTTTTCGTGATTTGTTGATACCGGCATTTGGTGGTAATAGGCGATCGTGGTCTAATTCCTGATCTTCCAAGTGTTCTGAACCCGGAAGCTCAGACTGGTAGAATCGATGGTGATGAAATTCTGCTTGTGGACTTGGTGATCGCAGAATAGGTGGAGGACTTGAGAGAAAACTACCGCTGTTAGAAGAGAAGCTCATCGGGTTTGTATTGGTATTAGGAACAAATGGGAAGCGAGATCAGAGGTCAACATAGGTGTGGGAAATAGGAAGAAGGAGGGAGATCCCGAAAAGATCTGATATTTTGTTGGGTGGCAAGACGAGATCTGAACTTTCAAACCTCCAAACAGCGAGACAATCCGAGAGCACATGAATCCAATATGGATTAGTTCTGCACTAAACATTCTAGATATAAAGATGGTTGGGTTGGATCTTACCGCTTGTTGTAACGCGCTTCCGGAAAGCCATGTGCTCGGACAATCGTTTCCCCGGTGATACGGATTGTAAGAGACCATACAAACCTTAAAAATAAGCCTAATCCTTGGCCGAGCTCGCTGGGCCCGCCGGGCCGCCCGGGCTTTGTCCTCCCCTCAGCCCGGCCCAGCCCAACGAAGCCCATGAGTGAGCCCAGCCCAATGAGCCCGACCCAGCCCAACGAATAGCCCGGGCTAGCCCAACAAAGGCCCGACCCATTGCAAGGCTTGGTGAAACGGCTTTAAGCCCTTTTTAGAAAGTCAAGAGATTCTTATTGTCTCAAGGGGGGGGGCAAAAAATGTGATAAATGCACTCTTCTAAGTTACATAATTCACCATAAAGCTTAGTAATAATATTATATCAAAATTTTGTGGTATTTCAAAATTGTAAGAGATATTCGTAACATGTCCTATCATATTATAGAAAATTGGAGAATAGTTATGATACAGTTAATACTATCCTAACTTTTATTTCTCAATTTTCTATAATCTCCACCAGCTTTACATACCGAAATGTTGTGATCATTTTTTCTTCCTGACCTCATAGAAAAAAAGTACAGAGCTTGTGAGATGGTGAATGTTGAGAGAGATATAACAGCAAGCTGTAGGGGAGGTCTAAAATATTACAATCTTTTATCGTATCACTGATCACTAATTTTATATAAACATTACATTTTTTTTCTTTTCGGGATATTTTTCGTTTGCAGCTTTTATGGCAAATAGTTCTAAATCAAAATTCTTTTTTTTTTTTTTTTTGGCTCTCCGAACAGGGCCTCACCCATTTCTTCTCAGAGTTTCTTGTGATTGAATTAGGGCTCGTTCACGTATTGTGATGTTATCATAATATTACTTATTCAATTAAATTTTTATCTCTTTTAACACGTCTAATGTTTGGCCATTCAAAACTATCGTAATTTTATGAGTGTATTTTCCTTTTAGGTATGATATGTTAAAATATTTTCTCCTTGTTGCCACTTTTTTTTGTTCTTCCATAGTTCATTGACGGACCCTAATTCCTCATCGGTGTTCGAACTACGGTAACGGGCAGTGGTTATATTTCACCACTTCTCACTATCTCCTCACTTCCTCCACCCCCCCATGATCCTCACCTAAAAAAGCGACCCAATCGATAACACTATCACACAACCCAACCTCTTTCAAAATGTGTTGTCGTGAAGCACTCGAGGCCTTTCTCTCCCCTGAAGAGGAAGCAAATGATGCCCTTGGAGAAATTGTCGAACTGCTCTGTTTCATTCATGGCGAACAAATTGCCCCAATCGTCACCCATCAACAGAGATCTGGGATGCGTTTTATGACTATCCATTGCGGCAAGGTGGGCATCATCTGGAAGGTAGAGATGTTGGAAGACACCTGTTATTTCAGGAGGATCACTCGCTACAAGAGAATTTGCAGACCCATCAGTAAGATAGTGGATATTCTATTCTACAATAGCGCATGGTAACTAATTCGAGAACATGGCTATAGGGAATGGCAATAGGAAATCGAGAACGTTCCTGATGCCAGTCAAAATATGGGAAGGGTCTGTATGCCACGAAATTATCAGGCTTCATAGACTTGGACAGCTGAAGGGGGACTGGTGGAACTACTCAATTCTCCTAAGGGATGAAAGCGGCGATACTATGTAGGCTTCTGTGTTTTCTCAACCTTCAGTCTTTTCTTTAAAAGTGCCTAATTTTGAGCTCAAACAAAAAAGCGACCACTACAGTCCAGGGTCCGGCGATGGTAACGGGGAAAGTCAATCCGGGGCTTTCCAGGCAAGGTATCAGTTGCCTAGGACTCACGATTCTAAGGCCACGGCTCTCTCCCCTGATCCCCGTCCGGAATCGCCTCTTAGGTTGAGGCTTAAGAAACTGAGGGTTGGTACGAGGATGGTGCCTATGATGAGAACCTTGACCAAGACCATGTTGGTTAAGATTGTGACTGAGATGGGAGCTAAGGGGAGGTTGAAGGTGATGAGGAAGTTGAGGATGGGAGTGCTCGGGATACTGAGAAAGCGGATAATGAGGGTGGCGGCCATGTTGAGCAATAGTCAATAAGGGAGAGCATTGTTGAGGAGGGGGGAGGCTGTTAGGTGGATAATGTATTAAAGTGGCTCGAGGAGGGGGGAGGCTGTTGGGTGGATGGTGATTTAAAGTGGCTCGAGGAGGGGGTTGACTTCTGGGAACTACTTGGCGTCTGGGGTGGATAAATTTTGTAATTGATCCCTAGAGCACCCTAACCGCAAAGGGGCCTACTCAGCAAACGGGATATCCCCTTGACCATGCGATCTTTTTTTCTTGACCACTGGGATGGAACCGATTCAAGTTACTCGTACTTTGCAGCTACATCTTGTAGACATGAGATATCACTCGGCCATTGGTAGGGTTCACATGTAACATACGGGAAGTTACCATTCTGTACGGTACGGTACGGTACGGTACGGTACGGTAACGTACTGTAAACTTACCAGGAGCCGTCAGCCGACCTTCATCAAACAAGGTTTGGGTCTTAGCATTCACACATCTTTACCAAAGATGTGTGACGTAAGCCCACATACGATACAAAGCCACAAGCCACCCAGACACTTTCCTCTCTCAGATGACTAGCTTGAACATGAAACCTCCCGTGGTAAACTTTATAGAGTGCCATGTGAGTACTTGAGTATTAACTTGCTAAATCCGCCATCGGGAACGTTGACGGAAACGATGGTCCTAGCCACAATTGGCGAAACAGATTAGGTTAACAAAATAACCGATACCCGTTGAGGAGGCCCAGTACACTAAGCCTCCCCAAGCTATGCTCTATTTGGATAGCACCATCTCTTCATGGAGTGTCTTCGCACCGATTAGGAGATCTGAGCCTGGCCTGAGATTGTGAGTTCAAGAGATAAATACAGTGTTGTAAGCGGAGGGATTAGAAGGTGAGTTCCTCGTAGAAAACAAGCCAATTAGCATATATCTGAGAGGTGAGTGTCCAAGCGGCATGTGGCTTTGTCCAAGATGGAAAACAGGATGACCTGAGATCAAAATTTAAGGTGGGAAAATGCAGTGTTCCGGTATTTTATCCTCCTAATGGAATTTAACACAAGGTAGTTTATGTTATCGATCGTGTAAGTTAGGGCCACGTACCGTATTATTCGAACATTATATACACTCAATCATGCTGGTGTAGTGACCAGATTTGATAACTCGATCACGCTCGAGGCCCGGCCATGCCCGATCGGGGATTACAAAAACTCGACCCCGATCTCAAGTTGGAATGCTCCAATATGACTCAAAAAATCTATGCCCGATTGTTGCAAGGAATCGTCCTGCAGCTATGCTCGGTTGCGGTCAACATTTCGATAAAGAGAAAATAATGGCCTCACCCATCATCACAAGAGAACCAGGTTCCCATCTTCACCCCTTATCGCACCATTGCTCCCACACCAGTATCCGCCGGTGCCTTTAAACACGAAGTGTATAAAGCTACTCTGCTTACAGGCCATAGCCACCGAATAATCAAGAACTAATCAAGGGCGGCCTACAGCTAAAATGAATGTAACCTAATGTAATGGAATGATATAGGACTCGTAAAGTGGCGTGTGTGAGGTGGGGAAAGAAAAAAGATTTGTGGACAACGAAAGACAATATATTCAACTTAACCCATTAATATCACAGATCGAGTGACAATCTGTGAATATAAACATCACCCTGAGTTTTTATGCCGCCCCACCCCACCCCTCCTCCTTTTCTCCAGCCACACTCCTAAGCACTTCTTGCTGTTTCTCTCGCCCGGCGGCATTCATCTCCTCCTCGGTATCATTATAGCGTCTGAAAAGCACCCAGAAGGCGATACCGGTGACTGCCGTAGCAATGCTCAACCCCGAGAACGTCCACACGAGCTTGGGATGAACGCTTGTCGGTGAGACAGCAACACCCAGAGCAGAGCCGACAGCATTCGTCAGGAGAAATAGCGACATTATAAAAGACTTCATGTTTGTCGGCGCTTTCGTGTAGGCGTATTCGAGACCTGTTATCGAGGCAAAGATTTCCGAAATTCCGCTAAAATCATTCTCACATTGGCTTCCCTTCTTCAAGAGCATTGCGAGTGGACGGGGGGTGAATACATGAGAGCATATGAAGGCGCTTGAACCGCAACGTGCACATGGTTCGGCACCGCTCCGTTGAGACATCCGCGGGGATTGTCATAGCAGGGACCCGCGTTGTAGATCATTTTTTGGCAGCCGGAGGCGTAGGCCATTGCTCCTGAAGCAAAGAAAAAACCCCAGGTTATACGAGTTATGGGTTTGAACTGGATGCCGATTGTACGGAGGGCGGGATAGACTAGGCGTTCCATTATTGGAATGAATATGATGATTGTTAGGGCGCCAACGTTCAAGATGACATCGTCTAGGATGTGAATCAGCACCTAAGAAGATAGATGGCGAAACAGGAAAACCAGGGGGATGTACTAGGAATGCCGTGGGTTTCCATCGTTCCGGCTTGGGAGACAAAGTTGCTGACCTATCATCTGTCGGCTACAGGAAAAGGATTTGCCGGTGATCGATCGCGGGTCAACATACCATTTGTCCATAACAAACCCAATATATGGGATAAAACACAAACACCCTACACGCAACCAAACTTCTCCTCAACTCGTCCACAAACTCCTCCGGCCACAGTGTCTTATACTTTCCCCCATTCGCGACCTGATGGCTCGGCTTTGCAACCTCCATATTCCCTTTATTCCTAAGAGCGATCCACCAAACCTTAAACGCACACAATATGACAGATCCCTGTGGCATAGCAGTGACATAATACTTCCTCCCAACGACCAGGGTAAATATCCCCACGAAGAAGACACAGAATGGCAATAGGTACGCCGCCCAAAATCCCACTTTGAGTTCCAAGTAGACAGTCGCGATGCCGGATAACGAACCCAGGTTAATACACCAATAATATACCATGTACAACCGCTGTATAGTAACATCGGGGTCAACAATCACTCGGGCACCGCTATTTAGAGTTCGAATGAATGGGCCACGGCTGCGGTATTGTTCTGCAATTAGGGGTGCAACGTTAGCCTTTATGCCGCCGGTTCCAAGCCCGATGATTAGGATCGATGCGATTAGGCCGCCGAAGGCGCGCCCACCTTCAACTGCCTGAGGGATTGCGGTGGTAACGAGGACGAGAAGGCCAAAAGCATAGATCCCAGCGAAGACCATAATAGTGTTATATTTTCCAATATATTGATCGGCAACTTTAACACGGGTCAGTAATTGACGTGAGGTTCGGGGGACGGAAGACAGAAGTTGAGTACCAATTGCTCCGAAAACTGGGGTGATATAACACCAGAATTGCCAGAAGTATTGTAGAGCAGTAGCCGTGCTCTGGCCTAGACCTAGTGCTCCGGGTAGTAATGGATCGTCTTTTCCATTCTCCATGTAGTTTTGGAACGGTGCCTTCAATGGTCAGTTCTACATTCCTCGCAGAGTCAGGTTGGGGGGGGGGGTATGCCGAAAGCCCATAATAGGCAAACCTCTCCGTCAACTCAATGAAGGCAACAAGGTAACCTCCGGTCGGGATATTGTCCGGAACTCTCCGAAGGCTATTCAATTCCTCCTCCGTCGGCTGGTCATTGTCAAACTCTATGGATTTCGGCGCATGTTCACTTTTTGCCAGAGGCCCCACAACGGTATTGCAAGAGTGAACCGGTAGAATAGTTTCTCCTTGAAGCCTTCTACGAGGTTAATATAAATCAAGAACCCAAATTGTGTAGGAAGATACAAAGCATAGTACTCACTGTCCAGGGTTTGCTCCTTTTTCCATCTTGTCCTTTGCCTCTTTGATTTCGATACAGAACCGCAAACAAGGCTTAAGCCGTGATCAGATGAGAGAAATAGACAGCAAAATGTGAGCAAGTGGGGTACTCTTAGTTACACATACAGATATTTCTCCTCCCTGTGAAGGAGGCTATTTGAGTAGGGTGACCTATTAGCGCGAGAATTCTTCCACAAAAAGAGTCGATGAGCGAGGGGAAAAGGGACAGAATCAGGTGGTGAATTGAATTTTTTTCCTCGCTCAAGCGGAACCCCGATCGGGTTTGCGAAAAACTCCTAGATGCTGTCGGTTTTCCCATTCCAAAAAAATAAAGATTTCAGATATGATACCCGCCTTGTGCCTCCTATCCAACGACTCCTTCATCACCACTAACTCGTTCGGAATCCGGAATCCCTCGGGAGGGAGTGTCTAGCCAATATCCAAAAATATAGCACTCACAAACTACGCAACCTCGCCAAACGCGCCCCCGCCCCTACCGTATCAGCCCGATTTGAACTCTTGTACCTAGAAATTTGGGAATTCGCCCCGAGGCTAGCACGACCGACCGATAAGAAGGAAAAGAAAAGCAAAAAAGTTACCCCGAAGGCACTCAAATCGTGGGATTGAGGTCATGTTCCTTCCGGCGGTGCCGGGGTGCAACTCCAATCCAGCGACACGGGTGCTCTGGAATTAAAATGTCAAGGCCCACCAATAACGCAGATCCTTGGTTTTGGGGTGTCTAATACCTCTGGGGTTTGCGGGTGCCATGTGGTATATGACAGATACTTGTGCTTGTAGTCTGCATGCCAAAATTGGGCACGGACGGACAGTATTGCGAGGACCCACCAGCGCCCAGTGTCTGGTCAGAGACCTAGTATACGAGTACAATATGACCATGGTCAGTGACGGGTGGTCAGGAAGAAGGGTTGACGGGGGTGACGGGGGGTGACGTGGGATTAAGCGGCATGGCATTCGGCTAACGGAGTCTCTCACATGGACATCTCAATGAAACTATTTTGAAAACAACCCCAGCTGCCACACATTCAACCATTGTCCAGTTCTACCACATCACCGTGTCTGCCCCAAGTTATGCCAATATTGAAGCCCTGATCCAAGAAGCACTTAAAGGCTGCAGAATAGGTAAAAAGGGAGCATTACTACAATGGCACATGAGTTTGATGTGCTGAAAGGGGCATTTGTATACCCCATCGGAATGACTGCCAATCTTGTCAAGCATGAGTCATCCTGAACAGGAAATTGACTGATGGCCAAGAACTTGGTTTATATTGATATCTAGATAAATTGGACAAGATAGGTATTCTATATTGATATTACCTAATTTGTGAATAGGCTGATCCGACATCAGTACAAATAACACTGTGTCCTGTGCATCCTGTGTGTCTGATACTCCAGATACTCTTAACATAAACCCCCAGTTTCAGAACCTGTTCAAGAAAGAAGATGCGACTGAACTATCATGATACAGACCTGGGGTCAATCTAGCCATTGACTAAGAACACAACAAGGAAGGATTTGAAAACCAAAATATATTATGGAAGATGGTATACATACTAAGTGAGAACGAATTGGAAGAACTACAAAAATATTTTAAGACCAAGCCAGACAGGAGATGGATATGAGAAATGTAGGGAGTATGGGGATCTCCAATAATGTTTATCAAAAAGAAGATTGGCAAACTAAGGCAATGTGTGGACTATAGAGTACTCAACTCAATCATAAAGAAAGATCGATATTCACTTTCCTAGACAGGAAAAGCCATGGATGGACTAAGAATGGTACAACATTTCATGAAACTCAATATCAAAGATGCATACTACAACATCACCATTAAAAAGGGAGACTCTGTCACGAATGTGGCTTAGCGAGAAAAAGATTTTCACATGACTCATGATTATGAGTCATAGGTATGTTATTGTTTCGCACATATGACTCACTTTGGTCATATAGCTTGTTTATGTTATAATTTGTTATGTTTTGTACATGACTTTATTATGAGTCATGGGACGTGCACTTGGTGAAGTGTATCTTGCAAGTATGCCTTGCGCATGTGATTTATGTTTCACACATGACCTCAAAATGAGGTCATAGGTTTTACGCATAGGACTACTTTGAGTCATATGACTAGTTTGTTACGATTTGGTTCTATGTATGTGATCACTTGGGGCCACATGACTTAGAGTAAGAAGAGTACTATATACGGAGGCCAGTATGGCCAAGGAGGATAGGCTTATCACACTTTGTTCTAAGTGCTTTTCCTACTTATTACTTTAATAAATATAAAATACCTTTATGCTCTTTACTATTATCATGACCTTATTATTATTATGACAAGAAAGCTCTACATGAAGTCGAGTTAGAAAAAGCTTATGATAGGTATTACAGATAAAAGAGAAAGGTCTTGTACTATCCATAACATAAGTATAAGCCTAGTGCTATTGTACAGCGACGAAGAAGAAAAAGAGAAGTATCTCTCCCTGTCGCCAAGAACTAACTATCCGCAGTAAGATCGTTACAGACTTATGGAAAATAATATTTGCATCCAAAGATGAGATATACAAATACCTGGTTATGCCATTCAGGTTAACAAATGTACTGGCTGCATTACAAAGATGGATCAACCAAGTTTGGAGAAGATTTCTGGATAGATATCGCATCGTTTACCTAGACGATGTACTCATAAATTCAGATACTCTGGACCAACACATCAAGAATATCAGTGAAGTTATAGAATTTATCCAAGATTCAGGAATGAAGATCAAACTGACAAAATGCGAATTCCCCATGGACAAAATAGAATACTTGGGATTTTACCATCAACAGATAATAAGTCAAGATGGACCCTATTAAGACAAACATAATATAGAAGTGGAAAGTGCCAGGAACCAGAAGTGATGTCTAATATTTTATTGGATTTTGCAACTTCTGCTGAAGATTCATAGAAGGGTTTGGCAGAGTTGTGAAACCACTCCACAACCTCACCAAGAAAGATGCCAAATAGAAATAGAATAAACAAGAACAAGAAGTTTTTAATGGCATATGACAAAGGCTTATAAGTATATCAAGACTAGTTAATTACGACCCCGAACGAGAACTAGTAGTCGAAACTAATCCATTCAAATATGTATGCTCAGGCATCTATTGTAAAAATTCATGGACACTAAATGGCAGTCAATAGCATATCACTCGAAGAAAATAACACTGGCAGAATACAACTAACACATATATGACAAAGAAGTATTAGCGATAGTTCAGGACTTGAAGGAATGAGAGGATATGCCTGTGACACTAAGACTACAGTAATAGTATTAATAGACCATAAAGACCTGGTACCTTTTATAAAGGATAAGATACTAAAAGATTGACAATAGTGATGGATAGAACAACTAAGCTGATTCAAATTCTGTATCAATACCAACTAGAGAAAGAAGGCAGAAAGCTGGACAGTCTTATAAGAATATTGAACAACAAACCATAAGACAATAAGGATAAGTAGGTTATATGACAGATTCAAACCCTATTGCTAAGTGACCGGTATTTCGAACTGAGTTAATTAAAAGCTATGCAACTTATCGAATTTACCTCAAATAAGGAAAACTAGATAAAAAGAGGGAGTAAAAAAGATAAAATAGTTGAGGCAATAAGAGAATTATTGGAAGAAGGAAAGAACGAGATAAAGGAGTAGCACTGGGTTTATGGCAGTTTAAGGATGAAAATATGCAGTATGATAGAAAATAAGTAATCCTGGAAAAAGAATGGATAAGAATGAACATCATATGACAAGATCACAATATCTAGACTGCAGGGCATGGCAGAATGGCTAACACCACAGAATTTATCATGAAGTCATTGGCCAGGATTGTAAGATAATGTTAAAAGTCATAGGAAGAATTACAATATAGGTCAAGGGACGAAAACGGCTAAACATGTATTCTACAGATTATGGAAGTCGAATAAAGCTCTCAGACTACTCTGGAAAACAATTATTATAGATTTTGTCATAGACTTATTCCAATCAGCAGGATACGATAGCATTTTGATTGTGGTAGATTGCCTGATGAAAATGAGCCACCTTGACCCTGTCAAACAAGATACGACAATGAAGCCCTTTATCAGAACATTCTTCTAAAAAATTTTCCCATTGCACGTGTTTCTGAAAAACATAATTATGGATTGAGGAACACTATTCACATGAGGACAATGGAAAAAAATAATAGGAGAAAGGGAATACAGAACTGACTGAGTACTGCATTTCACCTGCAGACTAAAGGACAAACAAAACAGGTAAATACAATACTCGAACAATACCTATGTGCAAACGTCAGCTATTAACTAGAGCATTGGTACAAACTATTGCTAATGGCCAAGTTCAAATAGAACAATAGAAAACAAGAAAAGATAAGTACAACAAATCACACGACAAATCATAGGACAAGTGGGACGATTTTGGATAAGGCAGATCTGAAACAATTAGTTAACATGTTATGATACAAAGTCAATTCTGTGTTAAACTTACCAGGATCTGATACCTAGGAACCACCCTAAGTAGGGTAACCCCACTCGGAATTAGAATCTCTGAACTCCAACACCGCCCTCTGGTCCTCTTATGAGACTGACACATCATCATATATACTTATCTCAATTGCATACTGTAACTATAGTACCACAGAATTCAAGGTGTGGGAGTAATACCATATACATCACAGCCATCCATCTGACTGGATCCTGTTTGTTGGATATTCTCTAAACTGCTGAGACATTCAGGCTTCTTTAAAATGTTGAACACTAGCCTATTAGAGTAGTCAGGAGCAAATCTGCATAGCATATCTCTTTTTCATCACCGCCATGCTGAGGAGTCCTGATTTTGTGCAATTCTGAGAACTATGTCACTTGACTAAGACAAAGTTTTTCATATCACGGTTGCTCAAATAGGCTAGTGTTCAACATTTTAAATGG